TGGGCGTGATGTTGATGAGGTTGGCATCTCACCAATGTGTTAGCACCCTAAAGAACTTGGTGGAAAGTATCCCTCCTCCCTGGGACGGCGCTAGGCTGGGACTGGCAAAGAAGAGCGAGCTTCCGGTGCTCTTAAAGCCCACTGTCTACATAAAAGGATGGGGCAGTAAACTGGCTAATGAACGTATAGTGGAAATTCTTGGAGGTCAAAATGCTGAGCTGGCAGTGGAAAAATTTGATGTCTCTTACAGGAAAGAAGAACCTGAGGGAACTTTATTTGTAATAGGTATCGACCAGAAATCCATGGCTAGTCTTGCCAAGAATAAAGGTAGGGCTTACTTCGTCTCTAAAGCTGTCATATTCAAAATTGGGAGGGTTTCGATTGGAAGGGCTGTTACAACAAGCCTCGAAAAGGACACTAAAAAACCTAAGACCACAGCATCAGTATCCACTACTGATAACGTTGAGGAGTCAAATCCTAAAATCGAAGAATTTACCATTAACTCGCCAGAAGAAAGTGTAGTTGCCCTTTCCAAAATTGGGAAGGCGCCGATTGAAAGGGCTGTCAAAACCGGCCCCGACAAGGACACTAAAACACCTAAGACAGTACCCAAAGCATCATTAGCAAGTACTGGCAATGATGAGGAGTCAAATCCTAAAAGCGAGGAGGAAATCACTCACCCGCCAGAAGACAGAACAGCGGTGCTCTCCAGAATTGGGAATGTGCCTATTAAAAATACTGCTATTCCTATGCCTGATAAAGACACCGCAGAACCCACTGCATTAATAGCCACTTCAGGCTACCCGGAGGAGTCAAATCCAAAGAGCGAGAAGGTGACCACCACCTCCTCGCTCTCATGGTCATCCATTAAACTGGAAGACAGTTTAATGGATGACCATGATTGAGGTTATCCAAATAAACCTCCATCGAAGCGAGACAGCTACCAACGCTCTGATGGCTAAAATTAACACAGGTAAAATACATATAGCTTTAATCCAGGAACCTTTCTGGATTAAACCACGTAAATTTCCAACTTTTCTACGCTGATACAGGGTCTCGCCCGAGAACATGTATCTTATGTCACAAGAACTTATGTTTTCTCCTCTCAACAGGATTATCAACATCGGATGCAACGGTGCTGAAGCAAGGTTGTGGCAACATATTCCTTGCATCTGTTTACCTGCCTTTCGATTCTCCGACACTACCACCAACGTCGGATCTGATGAAACTGATTGAAGAGGCACAAAGGAAAAATAAGAAAATTGTAATAGGTTGTGATGCCAACTCGCACCATGTAGCTTGGGGTAGTACAAACACCAATCGCAGGGGACAAGCCCTCATGGATTTCCTTAAAGACTTGATAACATTGAACTTAGGTAATAAAGCTACCTTCGTCAATAGAATCAGAGAAGAAGTATTAGATATAACTATATGTTCAGAAGAGCTTATAAACGAAATTCAGGATTGGAGAGTTTCGGACGAGCACTCTTTTTCTGATCATCGGTACATAAGATTCTAAATATTAAGGCCACCACCAAAGCCGATAAAGTTTCGGAATAAGTCTAAAACTAATTGGACAATGTTCGGGACCTTACTAAAGAACCGTTTAGGTCAGGACACTTTTCAATGTCGAAATAAAGAGGATTTAGATGCCAAAGTGGAAACGTTCACAAGTGCCCTGGTTGAATCGTTCGAGGACAGCTGCCCTCTGCGAGAGAAGATCTGCCCAGGAGAAACCCTGGGTAACTGGGGAGATCCGGAATCCGGATCGCAAACTATTTAACCGGGCACGGCGTAAAAAGACCGCAGTATACTGGGATGAGTATCGTAATAAACTTGGTGAATATAAGAAAATCGTTCGAAAATCCAAACGAGACTCCTGGAAACTTTTCTGTGAACAGGTAGATAGCGTAAATGACGTATCGAAGATAAAAAAATTCCTATCCAAAACTCATGTCCAACCGGAATCTATGATCGATGACACGGGCAGGAGGCTTGAGGATATGGAGGAGACAATGAAACTCCTAATGGACTCTCATTTCCCACTCGGTATATCGAATAACATAGATGAACCGATATTGGAGGAAGGGGAGGGTAACACGGAAATAGTTATTACATCTGACATGGTTAAAGGGGCAATCAAGAGCTTTGCTCCCTATAAAGCTGCAGGGCCGGATGGCATTTTCCCGGCACTTTTGCAGATGGAGGCGGGACTGGTTTCCATACATCTGTCACAGATATTCTACAAGGGTAATATTTATACCCAAACCAGAGAAACCTAGCTATGCGACACCTAAGTCCTATCGACCGATAAGTCTTACGTCCTTCCTACTTAAAACCTTGGAACGGATAGTCGATAGCATGGTTAAAAGCAGTATACCATACAAAGACCTTAAATATAAGCAGCATACTTACGATTGGTGGAAACCGCTTTAAACGAAGTCGTCCACTACATAGGTGAATCTTTCGATAGCAAACTGTATACACAGGCGGTATGCATTGACATCGAAGGCGCTTTCAATAACGTGCACACTGATACCCTTATCCAATCCCTAGACCAGTTTTATGTTGACCGGGTGCTCCGTAACTGGGTCAACTACATGCTAAGGAACAGATGGATAAGCTGCGAGATGTACGATATAACTATCAGGAAAAAGGTATTTCGCGGTATATCACGATTAATAGCCTCCTAAGAACCCAAACAGAGAAAGGACTTAGAAATGTCTGCTATGCAGACGATGTCGTAATACTTTTAAAGGGAAAGGATCCAAACCCCGCGAAGACGGAAATCTGTCTTTTCACAAGAAAGACAAAAATTTCTACACATACTGAATCTTGCTTCCTGGGCAAGAAGATACCGGTGACAGACAAAGTTAAGTACTTAGGTGTAATACTTGACCGGAAATTAAAATGGAGACACCGCATAGAGGATAGGATCAACAAGGCACATCGGTGCTGGACGATATGTAGGAGAACCATAGGCATGAAATGGGGTCTTAGTCCTACTATGACAAATTGGCTTTATAAAAATGTAATTAGACCAATTCTAGCTTATGCTTCAATAATCTGGTGGACTGCTTTGGACAAAAAGTGTAATATCAAACTACTACAGGGAGTTCAGCGTACATGCTGCTTGGGTATAAGTGGTGCCATGTGTACTACTTCAACCAAGGCTCTGGAAACGTTGCTAGATATTCCATCCATTGAAACATATATAAGATATGAGGCGGCGCTTACAGCCGAACGGCTCTTTACTTTAGGCGAACTGGCCAAAAACGGTTATAGGACACGTCATCAATATATACTGGACACATTGGAAGGTTATACACATTCATCGGACGTGCCTGTTCGCATACCAGACACAGAATATGTCGGAAACTTTGAAACGCTAATCCCAGATAGAATGTCTTGGTCAAGCGGAACATTGGAGCAAATACCAGTGGGAATCCGTTGCTACACGGATGGCTCTAAATTAGGGGACAAAGTGGGCCTGGGGTTCTATATTGAAGACCCAGAAACAGAAATATACCACCGTTTACCTAATCATAACACAGGCTTCCAGACAGAAGTACGAGCAATAACGGAATGTGTAAATTGGATTAGAAGAAATATGGCGCCCACAGGGCTTAATATATTTACCGACAGCCAGAAGGCAATTATGGTATCATGTGATATATATCATGTGATAGAATTAAATCTAAGACCGTATTGGATTGTAAGAAAGCTTTAACTGAATACTCTCCCAGAGGTAAGGTTCACATCATATGGGTACCAGGCCACTCGGGAGTAGTCGGCAACGAAAGGGCGAATGTAATAGCTTTAAAGGGAAGGGAGCTCGATGTAGTTAACCTGACAAACGCAAAACCATTCGACGCAACAAAAGCTGAATTAAAAATATGGATGAGAGAATCACATAAGGCCTCTTGGAATAATTAAACGGTGGTTAGGACCACAAAGGTTCTATGGGGTGACCCTGATGAGAGCAAGACGAGAAATCTTCTCAAAATGAGCAAGTCTGAGGTTAGTATGATGGTACGTATTCTGAGTTGACACACAGGATTACGTGCACATCTATACAAAATTGGACGTGCGGATTCAGACGAATGTAGAGCATGTGGAGAGGACAGTGAAACTCTGGAGCACTTTCTTTGCCACTGTCAGGCATTCGTCGAAGTTAGATCCAAGTATCTTGAAAGTGATGTTATTCCGGAAATAACATTCTTAACCAACACCGATTGGAAGATTCTTAGGAATTAGGAAACTGAGTTTCCGAACATGGAAAAATAATACATTCAGTGAACAATTTTTTTTCATGAATTGGAGCGCACAACAGGCCCGATAGTTGCCTAGGTGTATTTCTTCGGATGTGATGTAGTATACATCCTCCTATCAACCTAAACTAACCTAAATATTTATAGTTGAAAACTGTATTACCTACATTTGTGTCAGAATTTTTTAATGTTTTTGTATTTTGTATGTGTTTTTCTATGCGTTTTTATGTAAAACTGAAAATATGACGAAATACTGAATAAATACAGAACACCAAATAAAATACAGAACATTTTCACGTTTTTAGCAATTTTTTTTGCTAATATTTGTTGTTAATTCAATACAAGAAATGTGCATATAAATTACATTAAAATCGGAATAACCGTTTTAAAAGTTACAGATGTATTTCTCTCTTTTCATCTTTTCTGTACCTGCACACTAGGGTTATGACTTTTCACAATTTTTGCAAATATCAAAAATACCTTAGCAAGGGCGTGAACAGATGTTATGGAATTTTTAACAAATCACTATAATATTATAAAGTCATAACCCTACTGTACACTGTATGTCGTTATTTTGGTATTTTTTTCTGGTGGAGACCATATAATACTTTTGATTAGGGGCTCCAACTTCCTATATGAATGCAAAGTTCTATTGGTGGGCTCTCTCCGAACCAAAAAAGTATATATTTATATTTTTTTAATTCCTTTAAACATTTATTTGTATTGTAGGTTTCGTATACTTCTTGGTTCCTTGACGCCTTCAATTATGCAATGTTTAGAAAAATCAATGTATTAAACCTAAGCATTGGCGGACCAGACTTTATGGATAAACCTTTTGTTGATAAAGTATTAGAACTATCAGCAAATAGAGTAATCATGGTATCGGCAATTGGAAATGATGGTCCACTTTATGGAACTCTAAATAATCCTGCAGACCAAAGTGATGTAATAGGTGTTGGTGGAATAAATTCTGATGAAATAGTTGCAAAATTTAGTTCAAGAGGTATGACTACTTGGGAATTGCCATATGGATATGGGCGACTTAAACCTGATATTGTTACATACGGAAGCCAAGTAAAAGGAAGTAATTTGGACGGTGGTTGCCGAACACTATCAGGTACATCCGTTGCATCGCCTGTCGTGGCTGGGGCTATTGCTCTTATTTTAAGTGGAGCTTCTAACAAATCCGACGTAATTAACCCCTCATCTGTAAAGCAAATTATTATAGAGGGAGCAACAAAATTGCAACATAATAATATGTTTGAGCAGGGCTATGGAAAACTAAACATTTTAAGAAGTATGGAACTCCTACTTTCATATGAACCGAAAATTACGCTGAGTCCACCGTATATTGACTATACTGAACCATATATGTGGCCATACAGCTCACAGCCAATGTATTGTGGAAGCATGCCATCGATTGTAAATGTTACAATAATAAATGGCATATCTGTAAGGGGAAAAATTTCGAGTAACCCAATATGGCATCCATATATAGATAAACATGGAGAATTTATTGATGTTAATATTACTTATTCTGCTGTATTATGGCCATGGACTGGATGGATGGCTATTAAAATATGTAAGTATCTACAAATCATTCTGATTGTCCTTAAGACATGAATATAACCAAACGTCAGTCGACATTAATTACACTGGGAAACGAAATTATGGTTTGTAATAACTTTCGACTGATTTTAATGTATTTTTAGCTGCTGAAACTTATTTAATATCCGTTATTCTCTATCACCCACAATTTTCTCGCAAAATGGCATTGAACATTTAGTTCATATATTATGGACATCTATATACAGTGTACATACAATCCCGCTCACTTAAATAGGTTCACTGTTTTGTTTACATTCAAATTAATTATTTGCAAAAAATAATGGACTAATTAGTAATATTAAAATGTTATATAATAACATGATGTCTTAGGTATCACTTGTAAGACAAAAATTAGCGCAATACCTAATAGTTGATTTTTAATAATTTTTTTTTCTAACATACTATGTGTTTAGCTATATTTTTTTTCCTCACATTCAGAATAAAATCAGTTTCCTGCTGGCAGTGCGTAAAATCCATTCATACTCTAGTGTCTGTGAATATAGGCAATATATTTTTTAAAAAGTAGGTCGCGGTAAGCCTTTAACTAAAAAATAAAATGGCAAAATTTAAGCCTTTTTGAAAACTGTCCAACATCACAGGAATTTAGCAAAAAAAATGGTCAAATTCAGAATGTTATTCGCAATTTTATAATAAAACAGTCTGAATATTAGGAAAACATTAATGGGCGTACATATGGAGTCATAACAAAAGCGGACAGAAGAGATTTCATAAAATCTGCCTCCAAGTCAAGTGATTCTGCAGCAAAAATTAAATAAAAACTGGGTGTTACACAAGCCTAGCCGCAGTAAAACGTATTGTAAGAAGGGACAAGGCTTTTAAAATATTAAAAAATTAATAAATGCCACTCCAATTGCCACTCGTAAAGAAAAAACCTCTTCAGTTTGCACGGAACACATGGTTATAAAAAACAATATCAACATCTTTTTTTTTGCGGATGAAAAAAGTTTAATGTAGAAGTTCCAGATCGATATAATCATTATTGATTCGGCGACAATCCGAAATGGTTCAGTGTAAATGCACAAAAAGAATAAAACACAAAGGATTAGTTTAATAAAAAGGAGAAGAATTTGTCTTCCTTTATTTGATATTTACCTTAAAAAATATGCACACAAGAAGTGCTCTTTAAGGCTTCTATATGACGAGTCTCAAACAACTACTTATTTCTAAGTATATGGAGGCAAACAAAGTTTAAATACAGTTAGCGGTTTACTCGTTAGTTTTATCATAGTTTTCCATCAAAGATGTAAACTAATGGTAGTAAATCATTTGGATTTACACTTAGAGAAAAATACCGCAAATAATCGATTTGTACTTAAACATTGCCGGCCCCCTTGCAACACATAAGATGTTGTAATAAAATAAATGTCGAGCCATTAAGGGCTCCCGTGGACTGTATTTTTATTTTTGAATGAGTCACTCGGATTGAATCATTAAGGACTCAATGATGTTTTAATTATGATGTGTCATTAAGGACTCCAGTTTTTACTAATTGGGTCATTAAGGTCCCGTTTGAGCCATGATGAGACTCCGGTTAAGCTGCTTAAGGCTCTTGCTGAATTAATAGAATTTAAGAAAAGGTTATTGTAAATTGATATATAGTGATAATTTAGGAATTCAAACAACAAGTCTGCCTCTGTTAAGAGCAAATTACCTAAATATTCTTCTTTCCTTCTTTTACGATTCAATTTATTCTGCGCTAGGGATAAATGTAAATCTCTAATTATTTATATTTAAATATTACCTCGTAAAAGGTTACAATGTGTTTGCACGTAGTGCCGTGTCGTAGACGATATGAAAAATTAATGCTTTATTCACGACTTTAGTTAGTTGCGGTTGTGTTACAGATCGCTAAAATAACAAATTCCCACATCATTTGGGAATGTATCTATTTTTAGTTGGCCTATATAGCTGGTGGTATACGTCAGCTCCTAATAATATTTCTACAGGTCTGCTTCCGAAAGTAATCGAATCTGCCAACTGAAGATTTAGTAATTTGTCGGCATTGACCGATACCGAAGGCAAATTTCCCGAAATGCTTGGCAAAATAGAAGCAGAAGTATTTAATAAAAATGACGAATTAGTACTAGAACCTATTATCAAATTACAAGTCTTCGTCGAAATGGCCGAAAATTCCTCATTTACGCCCGAAAACAGCTATTTCGGAAATGGTTGGAATCTTGAATCTTTTCCTCAACTTTTCAGAAATAATTTTACATTCTGAAGCAGGGTCAATTAAAACTCTAACTTGGTATCTACAACCATTGTGTATTAAGTCGACAGTTGCTGTACCCTATAGAACAGAATGATTCCTACGAGTATGGAATACTTGTCGTTCAATCATGGTGCCTGTCGTAGTAGGTCTTCAGCTGTTGTACCTGACAAAGTGCGTCGTTGGTTATTATGAGTTGGATTAGTGGGTCGTAGAACCACACTAGAATTGTCATTGCACATTGGGGTCTCCTTTAAGTAAACTTGGCATAAAGTAAATATTTAGAAATTATTTTTTGATAAAAATTTAATATGCCTGGAAAGATAAGACTTTTTTCTATATAACGCCATCATTAGTTTTCCCATTTTTATTGTATAGGCCTTTAGATGATGTAGCAAAGTTTATGTTTTTATGTATATTTTTCTAAATTTTTTTTTATTATTTAATACCATAACTTTTTTTTACGAATCTACCATTAACTACAAATTTCTAAAAATTTTCTTTTCGATACCAAATATACTATTGTTATGTATGAAAAGGTGTTATTTTAAATCATCTTTACATAGATTTAATTATTAACGACTTTTTAAAATGCTATTTTTTATAGATATTTATGTTTTTTTACAATTTTTAAAAGTACAATTTGGCCGCTGATTGAAGCGACCATATCCCAAAGATACTCTGAAATCTTCTCAATAACACCAAAATTAAAATGTTTGCCTCTTTTTGCCTCTACGGCATTTAGGCTCACTTTTCTAACACTACATGATATGAAAATATTTACACTCTATGTAAAATCTAATTATTGAATGCGAAATGAATTAATTTAAATAATCAGTAAAATAGTAGAAACTAGTAAAATAATGACTGGACATGCTATTGATTCTTGCTTTATTAGTCTTACATTCTTGCAAGAATATTAGATGGGAAGAGTAAAGGTACGTTCACACCTATCAAATATTTGACGTTTTTTTATCAAATATTTGTTGGCTGTAATGTGAACACAAAATATTTTGAAGAGCAAACAAAATATCAGCTGTTTTTCGTGAAACATTTTTATTTGTCAACCTACAAATATTTTCTTAATGTGAACACAATGTGAACACCAAACATGAAACATTTTTGTTAAACGTTAAAAAAACTATTTAATAATATTTTTTACGATTTCATAGAAATTTCTGCCTAAAAACAAAAAATTAAATACATTTTTATTTCATAATGTGCTTAAAATGAGTATTTCTATTTTGACGTTTTGTTTGAAGAAACAAAGCCAAACACAATTCAATACAAATAGTAAAAGTTTGTTTGCCCGGTGTTCACATTACAACAAATTATTTCGTAAAACAATTGACGGATAAAACAGTAAAAAAACAAGATTTTATTTGCAGGCAAAGAGGAACATAGCAACAAGAACAGCTAATGCGCAACCAAACCAAAAGCCAAAAATATATGTGTTTATATTTACTAAAAAGCTATATCATTGAATAATAACTTCTATATATTCTAAAATTTCATTTAATATTGTTTTTCATCAAAATTTTACAACAAAAAAATACAAATTACATTTCAATACCTTGTGCAAGTGGAAAAGAGATAGATAGACTTGCACAAGGTATTGAAATTACATTTCAATACCTTGTGCAAGTGGAAAAGACATAGATAGACTTGCACAAGGTATTGAAATTACATTTCAATACCTTGTGCAAGTGGAAAAGAGATAGATGGTGGATCTTTACTGTCATGTTGTTGCTATTTAGTATAGTCAATGTAGCGAAAAACCTTGGTTGTTTGGAACGGTTTATAGCGATTTCAAAAAAATCGCTATAAGCCCGGAAATAACCAAATTATAAATAATTTTCATTAAATTACATATCTATAAAATTGAAAATTATAGAGAATTGTTTATTATTAATATATTTTTATATCCATTAATATAATAAATAATTGTTTAAATAAATTGAGTAATAAATTAATTAAATAATTTCTCAATTAATTACTAAACTATAGACTAGATTATAACCTATAGACTAGACTATAAACAATACTATAAACTAGAGTATAGACAAGACTATAGACTAAACTATAGCTTGACTATAGACTAGACCAGCGGTTCCCCCGGTTTTTACTTCGCGGACCCCTTGAGGAATTTATTTAAATTCGCGGACCCCCATACATATTTTGATATCTTATTCTTCTAAATATGTAATTGTTCATCCGAAAATTGTCATAGTCCATAAATCCCAAGGTCAAACAGATGTAGATATGTCATTTCTATAAAATATTCCCGTACATTGAGAATAATTAATATTTCAGAGAAGTTTCAATTGCCTGTTTTTGAAGATAGAATGACTTCATTGTTGAAATGTTAACATGATGTTTAATTTTATGATCGTGAGATCTTTCGCGTTCATTTTTCTTTAAGGTAACGAAAAGGTTTTTTCATCAAATATCGTCGACATGTGCTTAAAGAGTCACGTTGCAAAATTTTTTTGCGATTGCAGACGGGTAATCTGAGAATGTTAGCTAATTTTTCGGGAAAATAATATAAGAAAGTTGAACTTCTTCGATATTGTTGCGGAATGCGTTTATCCGCATAATATATGACTTGAACTCTTTGCGAAAGTACTGTGAATTTTACTGCATGGATTTGACTATTTATGCATTTTCTGATGTTAATTTAATAATATTGGTCGACAAAATCAAGTTAAAATCTGTGTATCACGTCGGAATGGAATATTTATATT